CAATGTCATTATTGACATTATCAAGAAACAAGCACATCCTTCACACACGCCTCATTATTAATCAATTAGATAGTATTTATAAGTTCTGGAAATGTTATTGAAAATACGTGAGTATTTTTAAATGTAATTGAAATACGTGAATATGAATAAATGATAATTTTTATTTTCTTTCATATGTTTTTGCCCAGTAAATTTGAGTGGGTCGCCATAAGCTGTGGTCGTGAATAGAGGGTCGCGATTCTAAAAAGTTTGGGAACCCCTGCTCTAGTATATCACTACTAAATTAGGGATGGCTAGCGCTGATAACACTTGTGTAGCTTTATGTGAATTTCAAAACAAACCAAACCCAACTGTTGAAACAATACATTCTAATCATTATAAGCAATGTAGTTGAAAATTATATTTAAATACGTATGCTCATTACTAGGTATACACTTTTAGTTCTTAGGTAGTTTGCTTTGATCGGAATTTAAAATCAATTACATGTAATGTACGTTATACCTGTATTCGTTCTGATGGTTTCCAAGTTGAAAAGTTTGTGTTGTTTTCGATACTGAAACAGTATGTAGTAGCATAAAATTTTGAGTTTGATTGGTTTCATAAAATTTTCTGTAGGTTTGAGTATGTTATATTAAAACAATTTTAAATATATATATATATATACTAGCAAGACACGTGGTGATATAAAGTCGCGATAGAAAGGAACGTACAAGGACTACACTTTGACATTATTTGGCCTATTTTAAGTAGCGCGATGCCACTAAAAATTATTTACTTTTTGGAAGGGTAGCAACCCTTTCCAATACAAAATATTGATACTCTCAAATCATAAATATATATTCAGTTTGTGGATTGCGAATTTCCAAGATGTGGATATCCTTAGTAGTTAATTTCATTGGAAAACAAAGGAATGTGGATAAAGTTGATGCACCAGGACTATCCAAAGAGGGATCTGCAATGAGTCGTACCCCAACCATGGTAAAAAATGTGTGGCGTCTTGTAACAAGTGAGAATCCACAAACACAAAGGTCAGTGGCAAAAGCCATCCATGTGTCCCAGGGAACATTATACAACATAATCAAGAACAATCTGATCATTATCTGGAAAAGTAACACAAGTCACGTATGCAAGTTACTTCCACGACATGTCCAGGAAAGAGAAGCCAGCTTTAGAAACTAAGAATGATATCTAGCCATTGAAAAATGGCAGTACGTGATGGCACTCAACGTAGTACATATACCTTGATAACTGAAACAAGTCTTGTGCCATTTTCGTCCAGTAAACAATGAAAACAATGTTGCTGGATACTAGAGAGAAATGTTGTCTATGAAAACACGTATGGCTGAACTGTATTCTGTGTCTACTTGTGTTCAATAAAGAATTATTTGTGTTCATTTCTAAATTGTGTACAGTCTCCTCTTGAAAGTCAATAGAAAATTCAGTTTTAACTATGCCTGGCATTGCCAGGTGGTTAGGACACTTTACACGCAATCAGCAGGTCGCGGGTTCGAATCCCAGTTCCACCAAACATGCTCGTTCTTTCAGCTGTGGGGGCGTTATAATGTATGGTCAGCCCCACTACTTTTTTACTATTTTAAAATACATTGTGTTATCAGTTGGATCTCATCATAGAGACAAGAACTGGGTGATTGACTCACCAAAAGCATCACAAGCTTGAAAAGCTATTATTTTAGATTTGGATATGGTACAGCCACAGCATGCCAGTTACCTGTCTAGTTTGTACTATTATTTTTGCCTCCATCACCATGCTGATGACAATTACAGCTAAGAGCTCAATAACCACATGTCCAGAATTACAGACCAGCATTGGCACAATGTCAGTACTCAGATGGATGACTGTTCAAGTCAGTGAAATCTGTTTATCAGGTAGAAAACAACTTGCTTCATGAATATCTCGCTGAACAGATGGTGCATTAATGACAATATGTTGAAATCCTTGTTGATCCGTACAAGACCATAGTGGATGTATCATGCATACTGTGGAATTCACAGCAGTGAAATTGGTCATTGCTCAATGCTATTGTCAAGTTTTGAGGTCACTACTGACCCTTATGGCTGTTGTGGAGCTAAATAATCAAATTCAGCGGCCATTGTAGTTAGCTTCTTCTTCTGCTCCACTATCCAGTTTGATGGAGAACCTCAAACTATGTCATCACAGAAACAGTCTCCATTATAGATGAAATGTGCCAGAGATAAGTATGGTCTCACAAGGGCTCACTTGGAATCCCCTCTGTAAACTTGTCAACGAGAATCTGATTGCAGTATACAGATGTCATGATCAGGAATACCTTTCCATGTAATCTCTTTATACCATTTATACAAGTGGTTAAGTTTTTTTGTGGGCCCACGTCTATAAGCTTTAACTCAGATCTAAGGATCGCTTGGTTCTTCTTATGATCGAATCTGTGACACAACTCAGTGACAACTGCATCTCAGTCATTAAGGTGCTCCTCATCAAAAGTATTTAGGGCATTGAGCTCTTTGCCACCCACCCATGCTCAGCATCAACTATTACAGAACCTAAAATCATAAATAATATTCAATGTTAAACTGGTACACAATTAAAAACATTTTATTTAGGCCTATGTATGGCCTTCAAAAAGTTGACGACTATATATGTTTCGACGTTACAACGTCATGATTTTAACTTTATACACAAGTGCCAAAATACTATAATGACAAAACCTGTCTCTGTCTATACTTGTTACAAGTAACAACTTGCATGGGATGTTTTAGGAAATAGTCTAGATTTTCTTTTAACATTCCCTTAAACACTGATAGGTTAACCTGCTTCATATCACGAACTTTGTAAAACAGTGGTGCAGGAATCCTAAAGAAACCATCCCATTTACTATAACATTTTACCATCCTATGTTTCTGCCTGAAGGAAGTACCTGTAGAGATCAAGGTATAGCAGCAAAGGTTTTTCCTAGCAATCCATCAACATCTCAGACTTAAGAATGGATCTCGAGAATCATGGCTGAGGAAAGTTATTGATCTAAGAAAGGACCTTTCTTATTTCTTAATGCATTCTAAGACTGCGTCCCCCTATTACTTTGCAGAAATAAGCCAGAAAATCATATGTAAAAGACAAAGACTTAAGCACACCCACATGAAACAAAGAGAAATAAAAATATTTATTGGTTCATAGGGAATAAGAATACTTATTGGTTCACATAACAACTACAAACTGTTTTTTTACAGATACCGACCAGCTTTTTCTCTGATGTGAACAATCCAGCTGCTGGAGCAAAACGAGTGTAGCATGTCTTTACTAGACAATAAACTGGAGATCTGTAACAAATGGACAAAATGCAAGGCTATTGCGTTTATATCATGCTGATCCGTCGGATAAAAGTTTTAGTGTGGTATCCCAAGTCGGTGATTAATGCAAGTTCATAAATACGCACATCCAGGCCCTCTCAGTGGTTCAGAAAGGCCCGGGCTACTTCTATCTTTTCAGGCCCCTGGCTATAATAATAAAAAAATTATGATGCGTGAAAACAAAATAAGACAATCATTAGCCCAAGCAAAAAGTGAAACATAATTTGAATAGTTCTATTTAACATATATTTATTAAAATCATTTAACATTTAATAAATGCTTCTCTAACCTTTTCCTGTGTATAAAAACAAGTTGCGAAACTTAACAAATGACATAAAACAAGTGTCTAAATTTGAGGCACCTTTGAGCTTGAGGCCCAGACCAAATGACCCCCTGCTCCTCCCCCCCTCCATCTAACTGCCCCTACTCACGAACATTCACAAGGATGTCAACTAACTACAGAATTTCTGCGTAACCATTTGAAACATTTACTTAATTATATTGGAATAAAGGTATATTCTTTTCGAAGTTATAGAGGGATGAAACAAATATCTTTTCCAACATTTATAACGATATTTCAGGTTTATGTTTCTTTAATTGCTACTGCACTCTTTTATAGTTTACATTCTGTGCATTTCCTCTTCATAAGATACTAAAATTATTCCAGGTCTACAAAAGCAGTTTTCCTTCACATGATATAATGATGTCTAAAATTGAGTTAAAGTAAACCTTCAAGAGGCTTATTCCTAAGGGTTTTATGTTCTATTATGAGTAGTTTATTGATTTTTTGCATATGCACAGTTGATATTTGATAGATTTAACAACTTAGATATAAGGTACCATTAAAGATGGGTACTTGTCAATAACATAAGAAAATTCATTGACGAAAATCATTAAAACATATTCGCGAATATTGTTTTTAACTGTCTTGTAATATGTGAAACATACCATGTTTTTTCTTTTGCTCTAGAAAGGTAAATATTCACTTCTTTCTTTAAGACATTTTCATAATTTTTCACATTTATATACATTAGAGTAATGTAAGTATAACTAACTGGCTTTGGCCTTATTCTTGAGCCAGTCACGCGCTTTTCTATATCACTCTCTTTCTAATTTTTAGATCTCAACATTTTGTTATTTTTGAAGAATTCCCTTAGATTTGTGCTAATGACTTTTTTTTTTGGTCACATTAGTCGTGTGAAAGTGTGGAAGTACCGAATAATATTTCTCCTCAATTTTTGTTATTGAGAATGACCAAGTGACATTGGAGGCAAATGCATTCTGAAATAATTCACTTTATTTGGATAAGCATTTAATGATAAATTCTCGCAGAATTTTTTTTTTTTTTTTTTTTTTTTTTTTT